TAATCTATGCAGAAATAGAAGTATAATGATGTACACCTGAAATTCATACAATGTTATAAACCAATGTTACTGCAATAAACAAAAAATTTTAAAAAGTAATAATAATAATAAAAAAGATATTACATTGCATCAATATACCACAATATATTTATCTTTCCCATATCGATGGACATTTGGATTTTTAGATTATTTCCAGATTTGAGCTATTACAAACAATGCAGCATAAACTTTCTTGGGCATGTATTTTGGTCCCCACGATTCTCTAGTGTTCATACCCAAGCAGTGAAATTGCTAGGACACAGCTATCCATATCTTCATACTAGGTGAATATTTATGTAATACCCAAAAACAGGCAAAGTTAACTTGCATTTAAATATTTTCATTCTCTACTAGATATGTCAAAATGTTTTCCAAAGTGGTTGCAACAATTTAAACATCCAGCAAGAGTGAAGGATAGCTCCTGTTTATTCATATCCTTAGCAATATTTGAGATTATCAGAGTTCCCCTCTTTCTGCTTCTCATCTCTTTACTCTTGCTTTGGGATTTTCTATTTGTTCATTCCTTTGCACCCTGGATATTAATTCTGACCTATTACAGGTCACTAATTTTCTTTTCACCTGTTTGTAATCTGCTAAAAAACTCAGTCATTAAGTTCTTAACTTTGGTTATTGTCTTTTCTAATTCTTAAATTTCTATTTAGTAATTTTTAAATTCTGTAATGACCCTTCCTATAGTTTCCAGTTTCCTGCCAATAAAAAAAATTACCTTTTATTTTTTTAAACATATTAAACATAATGTTTATAGTATGCATCTGAAAATTTTAGTATCTGAGTTCTTGAAGGATCTATTTTTGTTGTGTATTATTTCTACTGGTTCTATATATGAAATATAATTTCCTTTTACATGATATCTTCGGCCTTTGTTTTGGACATTATAGTCAAACAATTATTTGAAAGAATAATGTAAGCCCTAAGATGAAGATACTTTCCTCCAGGAAGATTGTGTTTTTTTCTGTCAGGCAGCTGGAGTCTCCACCAGGCTCACAGTACCGTAAATCACATTAAAATTTGAGACAAATTATCGTGTCCTAGATTTTAATCCATAGGTTGAAAATTTTGAGGTTCAAAGAGATCAAGTAGAAGTAAGATGAATTACGATGACTTCCTCTTCTGTAACTTGCTGTGTGACCTTGAGTTGAAACTTTGTTCCTAATTTTTCTTATCTGTTAAAATAGTACATAGCTGGTAACCCCCAAAATGGCGATTTTTTTTTTTTTTTTTACAGTTTTGGTTCTATTTCCCTTGTGTGTGTTTGTAGCAGTTTTGGTGTGTGTTGTTTTATTTTGCTTTTTATTTTTTGAGTACTTGGCTTTTCCCAACACTATGTTATGATTATTTGAAAGTGATGCCCTTGACTTTTTACCATATCTCTCACTATATTGAGTGTAGTAACCTGATGCAGTAGCTGCTTAATGCATGTTAAAAGGATGAGTCAATGAGTGAATAACTTTTGAAATAGGTGCATAGATAAAAGTGATTAAGCCTAACTCAGTATTGCCATAGAGAAGGAACAAGTATTTTTTCTTTTATAGGTCCCAGAGATTCAATCTAATTTCTGTTGCTGTGTTTACCTGTCCAATATATTGGCTGGTTGTCCTCACAAAGCACAATTGGTCTGAGGTAGAATTTATGAATAGCGATCCAAATCTGTAATAGAGCTTAAAAACATTGATCTAGAAGAGAAGTGATAGGATGTAATGAGGGTTTATTTAGGGCATAAAATTTAAAAAGCATATTCATCAATAATTCATCAACCCTCTTTAAAAGGCCTTTTATTAGAACCATTTCTATTCTGCATCTTTAATCAATGCTAGCTGATGTTGCTAGAACTAGATTTTGACAACACACGTCTGCAAGAGATCTATTTGCCTAGGGATTTACTTACAAAATTGGAATTAAAAATTATTTCTAGAGGGAAGTTGAGCATATTAAGGAAATATAACATAATTTAGCACATTAAATAATTGTTCTAAAGAGATATGAGTAAAAATGGGAAAAAATCACTGTCATTTTATATCAAAGCATATATTGTGACATTATTTTTTGCCACATAGATAATATTTGGATAAATAGATAAATAGAAGATACATATGGTTCAAAATTATTTTTAGGGACACCAGTCAAATAAGATCTTTCATGAATCATCTTTCTATTGGTTTGTCAATGGATAGATGTTCAAAATATAGCAATGAATGAGATGTGTATAAGGACATGAGTACACTCTCTCTATTGCCAGCATTTACAACCCAATGTACTATCAATGCCCAATTAATTCTAGAATTTCCTGATCTTATTTACATGTTCTCTGAATATAATCTTTATTTTGGAATTTCTTTATCTATTCTGATTTTATGACCTCATGACCTACTTCAGAGTATTTGTGCAATGCATAGTCTTTGGCTAGGTCTGTATCTTGCCCCAACAACCAAATGAACAATAGCAACCTCTGCCAATTATCTGGAAGTTTATTATATGTTTTAAAATATATAAATATTTAGAGTCATCAAAATGTTCTGTATTTTACACATAATATTAAGGGATTGATTGAATTTTTACATTTCACTCATTTGATATCATTTAGATTAAAGTCAATGTTATCAGAAATTTTCATTCATTCTCAAAATCTCTTATCTATTGATCTGTCTATTTATCAATGTTCATTAGCATCAAATACTACAATAAAAGGAAAAAAATTAGGAGCTTAGCAGTGGCAATGAAATGATAGACTTTTTTTTTTTATGACATTCTAAAATCCTAGAGAGTTAGTCAGAGTCTGGTACAGCATTTCAGGTGTCAAGGACATAGCGTCTTCTGTTTCTCTGCTATGTGTGGTCTAAGATAGTTACTGGAGCTCCAGCCATTACATGTTCTTTCCAGCTGAAAAAAAGTAGAAAGCACACACAAACAGTAGCACAGAGCACCTGCATACCTCACATTGGCCAGAATTAGTCACGTGGCCTCACCTTGCCTAAAGGGAGATGTGAATTGTCTTTATTCTCAGTACTGCTAAAATGAAAAAAAATAAATTATAATTAGTGAAGAAGAGGAGAACAGCTACTGGGGAACAAATAGCAGCCACCTCCTTTATCTAACTATTCATTTACTGATTAATTTCACTCTAAGATAAGACATATACAATTAAAGAAGACCTAATTTTTAAAAAGAGAAAACATCAGTAGTTTAGAAAACCAAGATTAAAAAAATATTACAAATAACATAATATCAACATCATTGTAGATGAGCATCAAACTTAGAACTGATCTTCTGGGTATCCAAAGTGAAAGACATATTAGTTACTTATCTTCATTATTTAAAAAAAGACATTACTAGAGCAAAATGAAGCTCTCTTGGCTATGAACAGCTCAAAAATTTATCTCATGGTAATTTTAGGGGAAAATTGAATGTTATGGTAGACAATATTCCTATAATACATGCAGTGATTTTATAAGGCACTTAGTGTCTGAGTAAAAGCCAAAAGCAAAGTATTATTTTACATCTCAAGAAAGGCTATTTTGTGAGTCCCTAAGGAAAAATGATCCCAGGATTAAATCTTCGGGTATTCTGGCTTAGACCCAGGAGAGATTTTAACCTGCTCCAAGGGCTGAATAGACTATATCCACTCTGAATGGTTATCTGTAAATATTACTGTTGCTGAAAGATTTCTGAACAAGTTTAGGAAATTAAGGAATAGATTCTCTAATTTTCTGTAGTCTGCCAGCATGTTTCAAACCTATAGAGCTCTCTTAACACCAGGTGTTCTAAAAAGTGAAAGGGGCCTATTTGTTAACTGTAAGAGGACAAAAATGCAAAAGGATAAAAGAGGTGGAAGCAGAAACCAATTTGCTGAACTTGCTAAATTACACAATTTGCCAGAAAGGTAAGTGAATTTCTCATTGCAGTAGTAGAGAAGCTATTTTTGCAATGAAATGTGTGTTTACATCCAAGTTTCAAAATTACTTAGCAAATAACTCCCAGTAAATGTGATGTTATAAATTTTAGCTAAATTATATGTTCTTAGATTTTTTGATCTTTTCCAAGAGTTGTATATAAAATACATCTGTTAAAATATTATTTTACATATTTTTGACATACATAGACAATAAATGCCTGAGGATAGATACAATAAATTTATCGTTTCTTAAATATGATTTTATTATTGATGAATTTTGATTCTGAGATGGCAAGGAAAATGAATTTATGTCCCCTGAAGTTTTATAGTCACTTTCATCTAATTTTTGATATGGTAGTAATTAATAAGAGATGACAAGAAATTGAGTGATTAAGGATTGTTCAATAATATGATGCATTAATAATGCATAAATTATATATCTAAGTTAATTCTCTCAAAGTATAAAAGCAATTTTTAGACCGTTTGTAAGCAAGTCTTTGAAAAATTAATCTTTGCTTTGAGAGAGCAATATAGCTTGACATCAAGGATTTCTCTTATTTCCGTGTAGGAGGAACCTTTTGTCATGGTCTCTGAAAATGTCCTGGGTAAGCCGAAGAAATACCAGGGCTTCTCCATTGATGTTTTGGATGCCTTATCTAACTACCTGGGTTTTAACTATGAAATTTATGTTGCACCGGATCACAAGTACGGAAGCCCACAAGAAGATGGGACATGGAATGGCTTGGTAGGAGAACTAGTCTTTAAGGTAAGCATTTATTTGTGTATTTATCACGTTTCTAAAGGCTGAACTATAACCCATGGAAGCTAATTTCATATAAAATCAGTGCAAGAGAAAGCATTAGATTTGAGTGCAAAAGTCTCAGCAAATACCATTTTATGAACTTTATGGCAAGAAAAATTGATGACAAAATAAAGCTAAATTTTAAAATATTTTCTATAATAAAAAAGTATCTAGAACAAGGACTTACCTTTGCCCAACTTACACTCCAAACGTGTTGTCAGTATATGATACATGATGAAGTCAAAATGCAATTTATAAACACAATTCGTGTCATTGTTTTCTGTTAAAAATGCAATGTTATTTGCAAAAAATATATAAATAAATAAGATCCTGATTGCTTAGGAATTAATCATTTAGTTTTGGGATCTAAATAAGGTAAATCTATCCTCACATTTTTCTCCTTGTTCTTTCAATTCTCAGCGAGATGTTTAAACTTCTCCATTTCTTTTTTTTTTTTTAGGTTTACATCATTATATTTTGATTTCTGTTTAGGTTACATCATGTTCACCACCCAAAGATTAATTACAATCCATCACCACACACATGTTCCTAATCATCCCTTTCACCCTCCTTCCTCCCCTCTGGTAACCACCAATCCAATCTCTGTCTCTATGTGATTGTTTGTTTTTATCTTCTACTTATGAGTGAGATCTTACGGTATTTGACTTTCTTCCTCTGACTTATTTCACTTTGCATAATACCCTCAGTGTCCATCCATGTTGTCACAAATGGCTGGATTTCATCATTTCTTATGGCTGAGTAGTATTCCATTGTGTATCTATACCACATCTTCTTTATCCATTTGTCCCTTGATGGGCATCTAGGTTGCTTCCAAGTCTTGGCTATTATGAATAATGCCGCAAGGAACATAGGGGTGCATGTATCTTTACGCATTTGTGTTTTCATGTTCTCTATTTCTTTATGTCTATTTCTGTCAGTTTTTGCTTCATTTTTCTGAAGCTCTGTTATTAGGTGCATACACATTTTTAATTATTATGTCTTTCTGATGAATTGTTGAATAGTCAGGTTTAGGTCTATAATTTTCTATTTGATTTATATGTGTCCCATTTTTTTTCTTCTGTTCCTTCTTGCCTTTCTTTGGGTTAACAGAATGTTTTTAGCATTTGATTTTATTTCTTTTCTTGGCTTTTTAGCTGTACTTCTTTGTATTTTTATTTGTGTTTAGTTTAGAGATCGTAATATGCAGTCTTAGTTTATCACATTCTATCTAGATTAATATCATACTACTTCACATTAAAAAAAGTAATAAATTTACACAGCAATAAAATTCCATTTACACCCCCCCTATCCTTTGTGCTATTGTGGTTGTATATTTATATTTTATGAGCTCCACAGTAGACTGTCATAGTTTTTGATTTAAACAGTCAATTGTCTTTCAAAGGTATAAAGAGGGAAAAAAAAGACAGTTTCTGGTATTTAATTACTTATCAACTATTTCTGGGGCTTTTTTTTTCCTTTCTACATATCTGAGCTCCTACCTGGTTTCATTTACTTCAACCTGAAGAAGTTCCTTTAAAATATCTTGAAGTACAGTCCTACAAGTGGCATATGCTCTCAACTCTAGTTTACCTTAAAATGTCTTTGTTTATCCTCATTGAATAATATTATTAGTTTATATCAAACTCTGAGTTGACAGCTTTTGTTTTTTTGTAGATTCTTTTTGTCTTAATGTTTTCAAATAGGGACATTGCTGGTTTTGATTCATATCTGGAAAGAGCACCGAGAGTCACAGAAGATAGTCACTTATAATCAAAATATATGTTTCCTCATACTTTTCTTTTTAACCTTCTAAGGGGAAAATTGTGGATAAAATTTTATTATTCCTAAAATCAAGTCCCGTGATTTTAAAGCAAGAGCAATCTTTTATTTCAAAAATCAAATTTATTCAACAATTTTTCATGCAATAATAATTGTTTTTTTATTGAGATATAATTGACATATAACATTATATTAGTTTCAGGTTTGCAACATAATGATTTGATACATTTCTATATTGCACAAGGATCACCACAATAAGTGTAGTTAACATCCATCACCACACATAGAGTTTTTTTAATGTTCATCACTTTTAAGATGTCATTCTCTTGTCTTTTGCCAAATATTGTTTCTGAGGAGCAGTTAGCCATCATTTGTACCTTTGTGCCTTTTTTTTAGTGTAGAGGTGGCTTTTTAAAAAATTCTCTTCAATTTTGATGTTTAACTATGATGTGCCTAGATGTGGTTTTCTTTGTATTTATCCTGCTAGGGGTTCATTGAGCTTCTGGCATATATTTCACAAAATTTAACAAATTTTGACAATTATTTCTTTTTTTTTTTTTTTTAAAGATTTTATTTATTTATTTTTCCCCCAAAGCCCCAGTACATAGTTGTCTGTCATAGCTGCACATCCTTCTAGTTGCTGTATGTGGGACGCGGCCTCAGCATGGCTGGAGGAGTGGTGCCTCGGTGTGCACCCGGGATCCGAACCCGGGCCGCCGGCAGCGGAGAGCACGCACCTAACCGCTAAGCCACGGGGCCGGCCCGACAATTATTTCTACAAATATTTTTTCTACTCTCTTCCCTGTCCCTTCTCTCTTTGAGGCTCAGAGAAGATTCAAGTTAGACCTCTTAATGTTGTCTATAAGTCACTGAAGTTAAAATATTTTTACTCTCTGACCTTTAGATTGGACAATTTATCTTGATCTGCTTTCAGGTTTATTGATTCTTTATTTGCCATCTCCAATTTTCTAAGTCCATTCAGTAACTTTTTTATTCTGGATAGCTAATTTTTTGGTTCTAGAATTTCAATTTTTAAAAAATAATTTCCCTTTCTCTGCTAAGATTCCCCATCTTTTTAGTAATTATGACCTTTTTTCTTATAAGTCTTTAATCATGTTTATAATAGCTGCTTTAAAGTCTTTGTCTGCTATAATTTCAACATCTCTGCCATCTCAGAATAAATTTATATTGACTACTTTTTCTGTTAACCATGGATCACATTTTCCTAGTTCTTCACATTTCTAGTTCTTCACATTTGATTGGAACTGAACATTGTGGTTGATACGTTGTTGAGACTTGCGATTATGTCTCTGAGACTGTATACCCTGAAGAGGATTGATATTTGTCTCAGCAGGCTATTAAGTTACTGTTTCCCCTGACCTTGTGGAGGTTTGGTTTTATACATTAAGGCAGGTGTTTTTGATTTTACCTTACTTCCTAGGGAAAATCCCTTGGTGTTGGCAATCTCTTTATTCCTAAACACAGCTTTCTAGAGTTTCTGTGCAAAGCCGACGGTTCTCATCAAGCCCTTCTGATTTAGAGGGTCTCAGAATTCACTCTCTATCTCCCCTGTCACTGGAAGCAACTATAACCTGTTCAGCTCTTTTAGCCTTCTAGATATTGCTTTCTGCTGATCTTTTAGAGTCATCCTTACGCATGTGCAGTTCAGGAGTCAGCCAACGATTTGAGGGAAGTTTACACACAGATTCTGAGGCTCATTTCCTCTGTGGCTCCCTCCTTTCTATGATTCCATTTTCGATTCCTGGCCCCCTGGCTGCTTCAAACTCCATCCTCTGACACATTAAGCTAATAAATAAGACTCTCACTTTCTGCTTGAGCTCTAGCTCCCCCTTTTCACCTAAACTGAGGTGGGTCCTCAATGAATAAGCCATGTCAAAGTTGTTCTCACTCAACACAGTTACCATTTTTCAAGGGCTGAATACCCTGTAGTTTCTGCCTGCCTTTGATTGATCTCCAGTCTTTTCAATTTTTTTTAAAACTTTGATGCAGAGGGCCCAGCCCCGTGGCTGAGTGGTTAAAGTTCCACACACTCTGCTTCAGCGGCCCAGGTTTGGATCTCAGGCACAGACCTACTCTACTCACCAGCCATGCTGTGGCAGTGACCCACATAGAAGAAAATAGAGGAAGATTTGCACAGATGTTAGCTCAGGGCTAATCTTTCTCAAGCCAAAAAAGAGGAGGGTTGGCAACGGATTTGAACTCAGGGCAAATCTTCCTCAGCAAAAACAAAAACAAAAAAAATTGATGCAGAATTTGTAATTATTCTTTGTTGGCTTAATCCAATAAAAACTATTTCATCATCGCCAGAACTGAAACTATTTCTGAAAAGCTTAAAAGTATTCAGAGATCTAAAGGATCTAACTAAGTTGTTTCTAAGAGGTGGAGAAGAGAAAAAAATAAAAGGTTTTGAAGGCAGTGGTGGGAAAATAATAAATCTGTTTTTATATCCTATAAAACCTTACTGGGTTCAATTTATTCAATAAACCAATTACGTATGGAATTTTATTTGAAAAACGTTAATGTCAGTATTTTTAATATAAAAGTGAGAATAATCAATCCTCATCCCTCTTATTAAAATCATGACAATTTATTCCTATATTATAAACCCACAAACCCAATGTTCTGCCTTTGTATTTATGAGGGGTCCTGCCTGAACTGAACGTAGATAAACAATTATGTTAAAATAATGTAAAGAAAAGAAAAAGGCATTATACAGATTTATTCATAGAAATAGTGAATAAAATCTTTAAGAGTTATTATGCAGACAAACTTCACTTGCTAAATGCAAGTTAACATTAAAAAGCGTTAGAATTAGTCTAATGTTGGTGCTGTTTTTAATTTGGTTTGTGTGCTTGCTCCAGCTAGTTAAATTTTTGAGACTAGCTTCCTCAACTATGAAGTGAGGAGCGCAAGTACGTTAATGGAAAGATCACTTCCAGGTCTAAGTTTTTAAACATTTTTAGGATTTATTACATAACAATCACACATAAGCAATAGTATGTTGTCCTTCATAAACAATCAATTCAATTGTTTTCATTTGCATGTAAGAGTGTGTTATTATTGTATGATAACTTAAAGTTCAGCAGGGTCCTTTTACAAAGCAAAAACTCAGGCTTAAAGAAGCTAACTGACAAATGTATGATTTTCGGCCAGAAAATCTATAC